CCCCCCCCCCTTTTTTTTTTCTTGTGTGTGTGTGTGTGGGATCATTATTTTCTCACATTGTTGTTATGTATGCTTTACTCCGGTTCATGTGGCACTATTGACCGACTAGTATCATTACCTTATTCTTCGTCTGTTCATTACATGTTTTAATTTTTTAATCGAAGTTGAAAACTTTGAGATTTTGTTTTCAACTGTATTCTATATAAGTGTTGAATTGCCATAGGTTTGAATTTGATCTTATGCTCCCTGTTTCTTTTAATCACGATCATACCATACTATTTTTTTTTTTATTTTCTTATATAACATCTTTTTTATCTATCTATTGTTCGTAAATAAAAAATAAAAAAATGTAGCAATAGTCGGAGCGTCCGGAAGCAGTCCACTCGTTCATTATCCTACAGTGAATATCCAAGATGGACCCTTTCCTTCATCTGCTTCAACTTCGTCGAACAGACACCAATGGCCCGTTTTTAATGCTGGATCATCACATAACGGAATACAGGCTCCCGGTCCATCTCGTGACACTCTTCTTCATATTCATAAACCTGCTGATAGAAATTCTCGTTTGGTCCCCAATAATAACCTTATTCGCCAAAACGCCCCTCGAGCAGATGGAGAAGGCCTTCACAATCAGACTGTGGGCCGAGTGTCTCAGAAGCGGAAAAATCACCCTTGCGGCCCTCAAATAAGTGAGATGAGCTCTGTGGCGGTGGGGCCCACTAGCAGCAGCAGAAGATATTATGATGTCGGTAGTTCGTCGAATTTGCACTTGCCAGCTGGGCCGCCATCTCAGCAAAAGCAAAACACATCATCATCTTATCCTACGGCTTGGAAGTATCCGAATAGTAGCCTTGCCATAGGTAGTGAAAGTACAACGAGAAATGTGAGAAGTAGAGGCAATTTTCAGAATTTTCCTTTTTCTAGTCAATCTTCTGATCAAACTAACTCAACGGGATTTTCTATACGGAGTTCCAACACCCCTACTATGGAATCGAACAGCCTCATATCACGAGCTAGCCATGGTAAGATTTTCATTTTTTTTTTAAAATTGGGAAGTGTTAGTTAATCTTGAACATATGATTTTTACGGATAATTGCAGTAGTTATAGCTGAGGTCTTCCAAAATTATAAACATTCATCTGATTTGAACGAATACAGTATATATATTTTAAACTCCGAAAGATAGCCTTATTTTTATGTATATTTAAACTAAACCGCAAGGCTACATTTTGCAATTGAACTGAAATAATATTCTTAAACTTTCAGGTACGAGCTTATTTGGTCAGAACACGTTGGGCCCAAATAATGGGACCTTGAATAGGAATACTGTTCCTCGAATTTCCAGTTCTAATGCGAACCAATCTTTCGGAGGAGTTCAAAGCGGTTTTTCTCAAAGAGCCTTCCCAACTTCCGGGTCTTCGTCGAGCAGCAACCAAGCAATGCAGCAGCTAATGGCTCGAAGTGAAGGGACACCAAATAATGCAGAAACTAATTCCGAGAGATATCAACAGTTTTTTTCTGCTATAAGATTGATTACTGGTGACAGGGAGGTGAGAATCGGGATGCCGAGTCACAGAGTTAGAATATCTCCTCAGGAGGCAAGTTTTCCATGATCGATTTCTTAAAAAACCATTTTATGAAAAATCGTATCTTTTTCTGTTTTGTGGAGGCCGTATTATAGTGAAAACTAATACCGTGATTTTATTTATCCCTTATATGATTGGAATGCTTTTTGATTAATTCTTTGTTAAGTGAATCGTCACTTTCTACTGAAAAATCGTATTTTTTTTGCTGCGTTGAGGATCTTTCTAGATAAGTCGAATATTTCTTCGGTTATTTTTTTTGGTATTAGATTTTCTGTCGTCATCAGGATCAGGTAAATGGAGAGAGTAAATGGTAGAGGAAAGAAGAAAGTTGGTTGGTAATTTTTTTATCGGTTTCTTGCCTGTGAAGCTTTTTTGCATATGTTCCGCAAAACTCTGCATTTATATATAGATATATGCTGAAATTAATGCTTCAGTTCTTAGTTTAAATTTCCGCATAACCATTATTATGTCAAGGGAAGATCCTTCAATTAAACATTTATAATAAATATTCACTATTCTATCTCCAAATGTTTTCACTTGCAAAATGCCGCAATTATTTTCAGGGCCGCTTGGTTTTGAACCGTTCTGCACTTTATGGACCAAATAATCCGTTTGATCAACATAGGGACATGAGACTCGATGTCGATAACATGAGCTATGAGGTCACACTGACACTCCTTTTCCTTATATTAAAAATAAAAAAATGTCGTGTACTATTTTTCTCTTTACTGTATTTCGAGTTTCACTTGAGTTTTTCGAACAGGAGCTACTTCTACTTGGAGAGAGGATTGGAAGTGTAAACACCGGTTTGTCTAATGATCTGATTTCAAAATGTTTGACCGAGTCAATATTATGTTCGTCCGACCGATATGAAGACGATGGAAGATGTGTTATTTGTCTGGTGAGTCCTCATAGTTAATTCGAAATTTGGAATTCGCACCCCATTATCATCATAGTTATAGTTTTATGCATTCGCATTAGACGTTCGAGAAGTCTCGTTTTTCCCCTTTTCTTGTTCTTGTAAAGGCAAGTTCTTAATTAGTGTGTGATTGTGGTAACTAACAGGAGGAATACAAAGACATGGATGACTTGGGAATTTTGAAATGTGGCCATGATTTTCATGTGGGCTGTGTTAAGAAATGGCTGTCAATGAAGAATTTGTGTCCAATCTGCAAGAAAACTGCAAACAAGGAGAAGTGACAACAATATTACTACCTAATTTTGGATTAAATTATTTTTTAATTTTTTTTCGGGTCGACATTAGTGCGTTAATTGTGCCAACTTATTACCGTTTGTCGCGATTATTAAGATGGATTTGATTTTACTATTTATTTTTTTTTTCATTTTTTTTTAGGACCAACTTATTATGTATGAGCTACATTATTATTATTATTATTATTGTCCTTTAATGTTAAGATGGTTTGATGATATGTTCATATCATTGTGAAATATATGCAAATGAGTGCAAAACTTACATTTCAAGTAAAAATATATGAGCTATCAGTATGATGATTATTATATCACAACTCATACAAGAATTTGTGGTTCAAAACAGGTCACTATTGAGAAAAAAACAAATCAAATTGTAGAAAGGAGTTATTTATAGTAACTACAATTATTGGTGTTTTGGTCCAAAATATAATTGAATTAGTCACAGAATTTGGGATAAATAAATACATGAGATTTGGGCTCTCTAAGGTCCCACTTCATGTATGGGCTGAATAATAAAGCCCAAGTTTTAAGATATTAAAAAAAAAAAAAAAAAAAAAAAAAGTGTAAAAGATAATGGGGCATTCCGAGAATTGAACTCGGGACCTCTCGCACCCTAAGCGAGAATCATACCACTAGACCAAATGCCCAACTTGTTGTTGCAAAACACACTTGAGAAATGTGTCGACAACTGATGTAGCTCACTATTGTATCAGTTCAGGTAATAATTGTCTTTTTAACATTACATTAGATTGTATACAATATTCATCTTAACGAATCTATCACGTTACCGTTACGCAATTATACTTTCTTGCAAAAAAAAAAAAAAAAAATCAATACTTTGTTTATGTTGTAACTTAAGGTATGGGATTTCAGCGAACATACATTACCGTGTGTTGAAACTTGAAAGAGTATGAATCTCTAACCGTCTAATATAATACTTACCGAATTGTTATTTGGTCACAACACATGGCTTATTACCATCAATTTCAACGGGTCATAAAACATACCTACCCGCAAAAGAGTTATACGCTAATTTACCGAATATTTCATAATTGATGCCTAATCACATGAGTTCCAAGTGTTGATCTCGCGCAATATATTGATTTGAATACAAAATTGGTTCATTTTGACCCTACCTTCCCACATCGAAATTTGAGTCATCGGATACCACAGTATGTACACGCACCCATACTAGTACGTATTGATCCAATGAGTTAGATTTGAATACACAAATGGTTCACTCAACCCTAATTGCCCATACCGAGATTTGAGCCATTCGATAACATGTATGCAACCATCAAGGGATATCCGTATGTATTGATCCAATGGCTCAAAACTCTACTCAGTGCCCATGAGTGAAATTCACCTACAAAGTTATAAAAGATGCCGCAACCATCGAGGGATCCTATGACGCCATGCACGATCACTCAAAATCAGTGTCCCATATTACATAGTTTGGTCACAATGACTTATCACAATTAAAGGACCACAAACAACACACCACATAAAGGATCTTGTTCTTATCACATTTCTTTATAGACTTGGCCAAAAATTTGTTTATGGACATGTGAAATATGTGGGGAAGAACATTGCCCTACTCATGACCACACCTATCATTTATTTTTTTTCCACAAAAATAAATAAATAGCATGTTTTCTCACAATTTCATCAGTTTCCTCTTTCACTGTAAACCCCAAAACCACACACACACAACTACATAACTAATAAGAGAACCCCTAAAAGAACTATATTTGATGGCAGCAAATACCTCAGAGATGTGCCTGTTGGGAGCCATGGACAGTCTATGGTTTCACCGTGTTATCTTCGTCCCAAAAAGTTCGACGCTTGTTTTTCATGAAAGCCCCAAAATGCCCCTGACCACCTCAGAATCACCTGACCATTCATCCAAAAACAGCTCCCAAATTTCAGTAATCTCAGAGCAAGAATTTTCATCAGTCACTTCTGTTACAAATGGCTCACAGGTACATAAAAACAAGAAATTTAGTTAAATGTTAATCGTTAAAATTTGCTATCTTGAAATTATCTTGAAATTAGATGGTTCACAGGTAAGCTGTTAAACTAAACTAAACGAGTAGCTCGTGAGCATCAAACGAGCCGAGCTAGATAAGGCTCGAAAATATGATTTTTTTAATGTAGATGTTATAACTTGGCTCGAGCTCGATCCATTAATATTGATAAACAAACCGAACTTAAGCTTGTTTGTCGGCTTGTAGTTAACGAGCCAAGCTCATTTAGGATGGCTCGAGCCCAAGCTCAAGTTGGCTCGTTTACAGCCTACTCACAGGTACATCTACCCCTGAAAAAATATAAAAGACTATTGGGCTAAATGTTAAAGATTCTATCTTGAAATCAAACTGAACATGTACATAATTTTTTTTTTTTTTTTTTAAAAAAAATGTTAAAGTTGCAATCTTGAAATTACACACAAATAATTTCCTTTTCTTGTTTCCCACATTTTTCAGGACGAGACAAGCGAAATGAGACCAACAAGGCTAAACCTAAACCTCGCACCGACCAAGACGAGGTCCCATTCCTCGTCGCCGCTATCCCACGAAAAATCAAGAAAATCGAAACACAGACACTATCCGGCGAGCGGGCTACAGAAAACGACGAGCCTGAAGAGCTTGGAGGAGCTCGAGCTGGAGGAGGTAAAGGGGTTTAAGGACTTAGGGTTCAATTTCGAAGGGGAGAGATTGAGCAAGCGCCTGGTGAGGCTGATCCCGGGGTTGCAGAGGATCGACGGCGGCGGAGGCGCCGCCGCCGTAGACGAGGAGGACAGTGACGACGACGAGATCGAGGAGGAGAGTAGTGGGGTTGTGATGAGGCCGTATTTATCGGAGGCATGGCTCTTGAAAAGTAGCGGCGGCTACGATTGTGCGCCGCCGCTGGCGAGCAGGGTTTGCACGGCGGTGGATATGAAGAGGCGGTTGAGGTATTGGGCACGCAAAGTCGCGTTGGCTGTGCAGCGCGATTTATAACGTAATTATAAGAAAATAATGCATTGTATAGTATGATATATAATATACTATTTTTTGGGTTAATAACAATAAGTGTGTTTGAATTTTGGAAAATTGTGATGTGAAGGTTTAGGTGTATGAAATAATTTTCGTTTTTTTTTTTTTTTGGTGGATAAATTTTATTTAGGTTGCTATTGGATAAGAAACTCATAAAGGTGTACAATTGATATAAGTGTTTTCTATAATTATTTTAAATTATACAATAATAAAGTCAACCAATGTTATATATTTTTAATAAAAATTATCATTTATTCACATATCTTTTGAATTATCCATCATTAAAATTTATATAGTATTATTTTATTTTTATAAAAATTTTAATCATTACATTTTTTTTGTTGATACAGTACTATTGCAGAGTTTCTGAGTTTATTTGTGCTTAATTATACTAATTCATGTGTTAATTCTGATGTTTTGAAGTGATTTACGTGTATTGTGACATTTGTTCATGTCTTATGAATTTGCAAATATTCGATAAATTTAAATTATAAATATATTTTAATAGCTTTTTTATTTATTATCAGTTTTCTATCTATGATATACTCAATTGAGATTCAATAAAAAAACAAATAATTACAATGACTCGGCTATTACAGTCTAAAGAGATAGCTACACAACTGGATCCACAAGGAGGACATCCACATGGACGCCTAGAAACACACAACTCACCCACAAAAACAATAACAAAGAACTTCCAACAAGAGCGAAACATATTCTAAACGGGAGAATAACTTACTCCCAACAGGAGAATCGGCGCCTAAACAACCTCAAAACACACAATACCTACAACTAGCAATACTAAAGTACAATCCTCCGGTAATGACCTCTTAGCCTATTGGTTAAGAGTGAAGTACCCATGGCCAGAGGTCATGGGTTCAAGCCCCTCGGAGCGCAGATAGTGGAACAATTAATACTGAGGGCTACAAGCGGCAGTGTGGGAGGCTGAAACTCGGTGGGAACCTGCGGCTGGATAGGTGGGGCCAACATGAAGTTGGGGGGACCAACATGAAGCAACCACTTCGGTGGGACCCTGCGGCTGGATATGTGGGGCCAACTTGGAGCTGGGAGGGTTGGCGAGCAATCACTTGGAGATCAACTCCTTGTGCGCGGTAGTTGAGGGTGTTAGGAACCTGTGAGCCATTGCGTGGCTACCCCGATTTAACTGGAGGCAGTTTCTGTGGGGCCGGGGGCTGTTTCCTCGAGGAATAGTCAAGCGCAAGCCTGGAATCTCGGTATCAAAAAAAAAAAGTACAACCCTCCCCACCGGTTGGACCATTACTTCGAACCAGCGGCAAAGCAAAGACCAAAGCCCGAATTCATAAACTCCCTTCTAAACTGAAGGCTAACTAAATCCGGACCACAATCCTCACCCTCCCATAGGAAGCTCCTTTGGGACCACTAGGAAGAAACACATCAAACCCGACCCTCAAATAATTCGGCAACTGCAGCTAGCCAACCGAAGCCAAGAGAGCTGACAACTGCAGTCCGCTCCACTTCCCTCACTGGCCGCCCACAACACCAACACACAGAGGAAGAGTCGCAGCCCCGCCAAAATACCACCTCTCGTCATGGTGCTGACCGAAATCGATCGAGTGCGTCGCACCCGCCAGTGAGAAGGCTTTTTAATCTACCGAGAGAAGAGGCGAGGTTTGCCGAAGTGGAGGCTAGGTTTGGAGAAAATGTAAGATAATATACAATACGCTTTCATATATGCCAAAAGTGTTATTTGAGTTTACCTTTTGAAATAACACATTTATTGGTGTAAAGTTACATTTTATCTACTATTAAAATCAATAAGAACGCAAATCAATAACTATGATGAAAATAAAGATGATGAGTAAAAAATGTGATACAGAGGCGGGCATAGATACAAATATATTCGCTCAAAATGATTTTTTTTTTTTTTATTGCTTCAACAAAAACATCAATAGAAACAAATCATATCTGACATTATATAAAGCTACATTTTGCTAAACACGCTTTAACAAAATTATTACCTTAACAACTACTAATAGATAATTACAGTAACAGTAAACCGTGGTCCACAAAACCATCAAATTAAAGAGTCCCTAATTAAATCCATTAATTTTTTACTGTTTTTTCATCATTAATTATCAACTTCGTTTTTTGTCTGCCTTTTTAGCAGAAAAAAGGATCCAAGTTTGAAACGTCTCATTTATCAATTTTGGATTGTGTGAGTTCACACTGAATTTTATTGTATTTTATTTAGTAGGGTACATATGATTCTGTTAAAAAATAAAATAAAATATGCTTGTACTATCAAAATATGTATATTTGTGAAAAAGAAAATTAAGTGCCCTTGTTTTTTATTAACAAACAAAACAAAATATAATAATTGCTAAAGGACATAATTTTAGACTTTAGTTGAGATATTTTAAATTTAGTAAGCAAAAATTTATAAAAATCAGTTACTGAATTCTCAAAATTTAAGACAATAAATCTAACCGATGTGTCTATTATTTTCGATAGTCCCAAATATACCCTCTCTCGATGTTCGTTCCCACTAATTGGAACTCAAAAACTTGTGTGCTTACCACCGTTTTAGACCTAAATATTATTCTCTCGTATTTTTATTATTTGTCTTTTGATAAATAACACGTTAATTAAAAAAAAAAATTCTTGTAAATATTACCCTATTTAACGGATGTTATGGATAACTATAGAGATGAGATATAAAGAGACACTGTGCATTGACATAGAGTTAAAAATAGAAAAATATGAACAAAATAGTCCGAACGACATTTATTTAATCAATGATTCATGAAGCCAAAGTAACAAATAATAAAAATAGGAGGGAGTACTATGTTATTGGAGATTCATTTTTAGATGACAATTTAATACACCATATTTTTTTATGTTTTTGCAATATAATTATCACATTTGTAATTTAACTATTTAATACACTACTTTAACTATTGTTTGCAATTCGAATCACATGACTTAATTTGGGCTTTTTCTTCTTACATGACATGTTTTCTACTGCATGACATTTCTCGTATCTATAGAATATTATATATAAATTTTTCTTTCGAGCCTTATCGAGTTGAGCCGAGCTTGGCTCGTTAGCTAAACGAGCTTTAATTGAGTCGAGCTTGGCTCGTTTATCTAACGAGCTGAGCCAAAATCGTGCCGAACGGGCCAGACTTGTTTAGTTTAACATCACTATTTTTTTTTTCTTTTAAATATATGCATATTAAATCAATAAGTATTTTTTTAATAAAAATGGCGCATCGACTCGTCTAAGTATTGAATCGGTTCTTACACTAATTAGTAATTTGTGATCAAAATTGCAATACAAAATTTGGAACTGAAAAAAAATAATAATAATAATAACATTTTTTACATAGGTTATCTTGATTAATTTATGGTGATTAATTTAATGTAATTCACATGACAAGTTGACAACTAAGACAAAAGGGCCAAAACAACATGACCGTTGGATCTACACGTGGCGCCTCCACCTGCCCCCTCATAACCCTCTCTGTTCATACTTACAGTTTCACCCTTTCTCTCTCTAACTCCTCTCTCTCTCTCTCTCTCTCTCTCTCTCTCTCTCTCTCTCTTACCCTGCTTTTAAGCTTCCATAGATTTCATCTCTTTCTTTCCCTTTTTATCTCTTTATTATTCCCCCTTTTCTCCGTCCCCTTTCCAATTTCTCTCACAGCCAAACACGACCTTAAATTGTTTTCCGATGGGCTGCGAGCCTCCGATCTCCAATTGACCCACCGATGACGTCACTTTCCGATGGGTTTTCTTTCATATCGGCCCTCTCCGTCCTGATCTCAATTCTATCCGGCAGCACCTCTGCAGACACCGAATTCGACCTAGGCACGCTTGGCGTCTCCAGCCTGAAGCTCCTCGGCGCCGCCAGCGTGACCAACGGCAGCTGCGTGGAGGTCACGCGCCCCGCCGTCGTCCCTGACTCCGCCGTCGGGCGCGTCCTCTACGCCGAACCCATCGAGCTCCGGCGTACCGGCCTCCTCCTCCCGGCGGACTTCTCCACCTTCTTCACTTTCTCCGTCTCCAGCCCGAACCCCTCCTCCTCCGCCGGCGGCGGCCTGGCCTTTGTCCTCTCGCCGGACGCCGACTACGTCGGCGCCACCGGCGGCTACCTCGGCGTCACCGACGCCGCCTCCGGCCCCCACGGCGGCGTCGTTGCCGTGGAGTTCGACAGCCTGATGGACGTGGCCTTCGAGGACATCAACGGCAACCACGTGGGTCTTGACCTGGGCTCGATGGTCTCAGCCCAGGCCCGCGATCTTGGGGACGCCGGCATCGAGCTCAAGAGCGGTGATTCGGTCAACTCGTGGATCGAGTACACCGGGTCGACCGGGTCACTCCGTGTCTTCATCTCCTATTCCAATCAGAAGCCCGAAAGCCCGATTCTATCCGCCGTCGTCAACCTCGCCGACCACCTAACCAACGACTCCGCCTACGTGGGCTTCTCTGCATCGACCCAAGGCAGCACGGAAGGCCACACGATCCAATGGTGGAGCTTCAAATCATCGTTGGGCCCGAACCCGGCCCACTCGAACCAAACCGGCCCGAACACGCCTTCTCCAGCGCCACAGGCCCAAATCACAAACCCAACGCCACCACACGACGAGAAAAAGGTCCTCCGGTCAGGAACCATCGCCGGAGTCGTGACAGCTAGCGCGTTTTTCCTTGCGTTCTTCGCCTTCGCCTTCGTGTGGGCTTACAACAAGAAATTCAAAGGGGAAAACACGAAAACCGAGACGCTCGGTTCGGACGTAATCAAAATGCCGAAGGAATTTACATATAAGGAGCTAAAAGCGGCCACCCGAGGGTTCGATACCGACCGAGTCATTGGCCACGGTGCCTTCGGCACCGTGTACCGTGGCACATTGCCGCCTACCGGCGGCCGCAGCACGACTGTGGTGGCGGTCAAGCGGTGTAGCCACACGGGTCAAGGGAAAACCGAGTTCCTATCTGAGCTATCGATAATCGGGACATTGAGGCACCGGAACCTCGTCCGTCTCCATGGATGGTGCCACGAGAAGGGCGAGATTTTGCTCGTTTACGACATAATGCGCAACGGGAGCTTGGACAAGGCGTTGTTCGAGTCGACCACGGTTTTGCCGTGGGCCCACCGGCGCAAGATTTTGCTAGGCGTGGCATCGGCATTGGCCTACCTACACCAAGAGTGCGAAAACCTAGTGATCCACCGAGACGTCAAGACTAGCAACGTTATGTTGGACGAGGGGTTTAACGCGCGGTTGGGGGATTTCGGGCTCGCTCGGCAAATCGAGCACGACAAGTCGCCTGACGCCACTGTGGCCGCGGGCACAATGGGTTACTTGGCGCCCGAGTACTTGCTAACGGGCCGGGCCACAGACAAAACCGACGTGTTTAGTTACGGGGCGGTGGTGCTTGAGGTCGCCACCGGGCACCGGCCGATCGATAAGGAGCTCAAGGGGGGAAATTTGGTCGATTGGGTGTGGGGTTTGCATAGGGATGGGGATTTGGTGGCGGCAGCCGACCGGAGGCTCGGTGGGGATTTCGACGGGGAGGAAATGGGTCGGGTTTTGATGATCGGGCTGGCGTGCTCGAGCCCTGACCCGGAGGCCCGGCCCACAATGCGGGCCGTGGCCCAAATGTTGTTGGGCGACCGGGAAGTGCCCGTCGTGCCTAGGGTGAAGCCCACGACGAGTTTCAGCACGGCCCAATTGCTTATGACGCTTCAAGACAGCGTGTCGGATTTGAACGGGATGGTCGGGCTTTCGGCCACCTCGTCGGAGATCAGTTTTGGCGGCGGTGGTGGCGGGCCTGGTGGCGGCGGGCTGGACTTGGTGTAACGGCTATGTGGATTTAATTTTGGGGGGGTTATAATAAGGAGGGTCCATATTTATTTAGTCAATATATTCATTGATTACATAAACTTTTTGTACTTAAATTAGGAATTGATTTCTATACATATTTTTCTAAGTGTGGGTGTTATGGTTTTGGTCCGTCTTGAATTTGTCGTGTGTGACGTGCTAATAATGAGAGCTAAGAAAAAAGAGCTTAATTAGTTATATGTAAAGTGGGGAGATTGAAAATGGTGGGTGTCAATTTTATTTTGCACTTGCTTGAATATAGATTGGTCAATTTTATTTTGCACTTGCTTGAATATATTTGGAGATTCTACGGTGCCGTTACTGAACCATTCCGTTGGGTTGTAACCGTTAGATTAAATATTCATGACGGTTATATGATGATGTAACAGTTACAAATCCCGACGAAATGGTTTCATAACAGAACTGTAACATTTTCCATATATATATAATATTTTTTTTTCTCATGAAAATGAATAAAAAAACTGGATTGCTATTTACCGCCCCCCTATTACTAGTCACCGCCCCCCCCCAATTA